CTAAGTAATATGACATTTACTAAAGGAATTGGTTCACCAACATATATGGCTCCAGAAATACTTAATAAAAAGAAATATGAAAAACCAGCAGATATTTATTCATTCTCAATCTCTTTATACCAAATAATTATTTACCATGACCCTTATAAAGGAATATGTGAATATCCATGGGATATTATTGATTTTATCCAAAAAGATAATTATCTTCCTCTCCCTGAAGAAGCAACTGAAGAGATGAATTTATTATTACAAAATACTTGGGACCATTCTCCTTTAAAACGAATTAGTATAAAAGAAGTTATCTGTTCATTACAAAAAATCTTACAATCAATTCGTTCTAAAAAGGAAAAAACAATTTATTAATTATAATATTGTTTTTATTTTAATAACTTTATAAGAAATTAAAAAAATCTTTGTTTTATCTTCAGTTTTGTTATATTTTTATATATCACCGTAATAATAAAACAATTTTACTAATATATTAAATTTGTTGTAATTAAAAAAAAAAAAAACATAATGTAATGAAAAACATAATGTTATGAAAAACATAATTGAACTATATACTTTTTTTAATATTGAATTGTATTAATAAATTGTATTCAATACGATTAAACTAATTTCAACAAGATATAACTTCATTATTTAATATCTCATATATTTTGAATTGTTTTACTCTAAAAATCAATAGAAAAATCTATAGATAAACGTACTATTTAATTAAAGAAAATTTATAGTTAAAAAGTAAAATAATAAAATAATAAAATAAATTTAGAGATTATAGAACAAGTGTAATAATTCGATAGAATTTGTTTTTAGAATCTTTAGTATCTACTTTTTTTTATTTTTACACTTTCCAAAAATAGATTTTCAAACAAAAAAATCTTAATAAAGGTAAAAATAAAAAATAAAAAATAAAAAATAAAAAAAAAAGAAGGAGAAAGAGAAAGAGAAGTAATCTGTAATTAAGAAAAAAAAAATGAAAAGAACTTAAAGATTGAAGTTATCAAATAGTTTATTCAATGAAACAAATACCGACGTGTTTGCTTCGGATAGAAGAACAAAGTTTAGGAGAAGAACAATCTATGAAACGATTATCAGAATTAGCAGACATACGAGAAAATGCAATAAGACAAGGGATATTTAAATCAGTTAAATCATTTAAAGAAATGGATACCAATGAGTTAATGTATTCAACAATAGATTTTCTTATTGGGACCATCTTTAGTAGAATAAATAATAAATCACAAGAAAGTGATTACTTATCATCTTATCATTTTGATTTATTTCTTAAATTAATGGTTAAAATGAAATTATGTGTAAAAGAAACATATCGTTCTACTTTATATGGTACTATAGAAGTCGGTAATTATCCTAAAGTACCTAATAGATCACAAACAAAAGGAATATTAGTTGATATTCAAGATAGAACATTTTGGATAGCAAGATTAAAAGATTTAATACATTCAGCATTATTACAATTACAAACATATATACTTCAATGTAATACTTTAGGACATTCAATAGACTTTTCATTAAATACATATTCTTTAAATTTTTTTGAATTAAAATCAGTATTTATTGGAATTGATATTCAATTATTATTTCATGATTTATCAGAACCATTTAATGAAACAAATGATATTATCAATTCTCCTTCAAGTGAATCTACAAGAAATGAAAAATCTCTTTCACCACCACTAAGAATAACTCGATGTAAAACAATGCCAAAATGTTATTCTTCACGTACATCATTAATAGAAATGACTACAAAAAAATCAGTAGTAATTCCACGAGCAAATGAGAAAGAATTAGTAATAGTTAATGTTAAAGGAGTAAAAATAATATATAGAAATGATGTTCCAAGTAATATACAAAATATAGAAAGAGAAGGGAATATCATTATTACATCATTTAAATTTTGTTTTATTGATGATTCAGATGGAAAATATAATATTTTTGTTCCAATGACAAAAATTGCCGATTTTAAGAAAGTGAATAACAATAAATCAGAACATCGTAGAATTCTTGAATTTAATACAAAAGACAATATTTGTGTTAAATTCTCATTTCTTAAAAATCGTGAAGAAAGAAAAAGTATTTACACTGCATTAAATAGTTTAGTATTTGTACCACCAACTTCTTTAGAAATATTTAAATTAATTGAATCTATTCCAACAAAACCAATAAGTTATTATAATGTTTTAGATGAATTTATTCGTCTTGGATTAAATAAATCAAATTCAAATTGGAGAGTATCAAGAATTAATGATGATTATGCCTTTTGTCCAACTTATCCAAAAGAAATTATTGTTCCAAAAGAAGCAAGTGATGAATTATTATTAGAAGATGGTTCATTTAGAAGTAGACAAAGAATTCCAGTTATTACATATGTATCTTCTAAAGGATCTTCTATTGCAAGATGTTCACAACCATTATGTGGATTAACTGGAAGAAAATGTCAAGCTGATATTGAACTTCTTAAAATGATTACAAATGGAGGAACATCACATAAACTTCGTATTCTTGATTCTAGACCAAAAGCAAATGCTGTTGCTAATATTGCTATGGGTGGTGGTTATGAAACTGAAGAAGATTATCCATTTGCAACAATAGAATTTGAAAGTATTGATAATATTCATGTTGTAAGAGAAGGTTGGCAAAAATTATGTTGGTATTGTATGCAATTACCAGAACATTATAAAACAAGTCAAATTATTAATTGTAATGAAATTCAACAATGGTGGAAAATTATGTTAGCTATCTTTGCTTCTTCTATTAAAATGTGTAGATATTTAGAAGCTGGAGAAAGTGTATTAGTTCATTGTACTGATGGATGGGATAGAACAAGTCAATGTTGTTCATTATGTGAAATAATGTTAGATCCTTTTTTCAGAACAATTGATGGATTTATTATTCTTATTGAAAAAGATTGGAAATCATTTGGACATAAATTTATGACACGTTCAGGAGTTTGTGTTCATTGTCCACATAGTCAATATTCTCCAGTTTTTCATCAATTTATTGAATGTGTATTTATATTATTACAACAATATCCTACATCATTTCAATATAATGAAGATTTTCTTATTGAAGTAGATGATGCAGTATTTTGTCATAATTATGGGACATTTCTGTTTGATACAGATTGTGAAAGAGAAAAGTATCACGTAAATGAAAGGACACCATCTTTATGGTCTATGATTATTGAAAATAGAGAATTATTTACTAATCATCAATATATTCTATCTGATAGTAAATTACATTTAAATGGAATTCCAAAATTTGTGTTGTGGGAAAAATATTATTTTTGTAACCGAAAACTTTAAATTCATTTTTATTTTATTAATCTCTATTAATCATTATATAAACCTTCTTTTAATTTCTTTTATAAAATAGTAAATAAATTAAATGAACTAAATGAATGATGATGAAATTACACTATTTACTTGTTGAGCTTCATAGAATGAATGAACAATATCTAATGAAAATTCAATTTCTTCATTACCATTAAAAAATGATTTAATATTATCATAGAATATACATCCTTCATTAATTATTTCTTTTTTATTCCATTCTTTAGATAAGATAATATGTTCTAATATTCTTCTTTCTGGCATAAAGTTTTTTTCTGGTTTCTTTTTAACACATTCTTCAAAAGAAAATCCAAAGAAATATCTAAGAATATCAAGGATTTGATTATCAATAATAATAAAAATCATATTTCTTTTATATCTTGTTTGTTCTTTCATTCCTTTAAGAATATTACTTTGTTCAATTTCTTCTTCAATTTTATTTCTAGAAATTAGAAGAATATTTTGATATAATACTTCTTCTATTTTTAATTTTTGATAGATTCCTTCTTTTATTATTCTTTTCATCTTTATAGTACATCCAAGATAATATAATATCATCATTAGAAATCCTTCATTCCCATAATCATTCCTATTGGCATTTGCTCTATTTTCTCTCTTTCTTTTTCTTGTTTCTTCTAAATTAAATGCTTTTCTTTTTCTTCCTCTTTTCTTTTTTTCTTCTGTTAAAAGGTTAAGAAGTGTCATTTTATATGTTGAATTATTCTCCATTATAATAACTATGAAATTTAAGTTTCATCAAGCATTTATAATTCAACAGAAACATAAACTAAATCAACATTAAAATAGTCTTTCATCAATACAAAAATAAAAAAAGTTGATATTCAAGGATTTTTAATACTCAAATCCTTTCTTATTATTGACTTATTTATAACATCACTTGATAATGAAGCAACTTCCTTGAATTAAAAATAAATCATTGTTATATATCACAAATATATGTTTAATTAAAAAAAATTAAAAAAAGAATAAAAAAAACTTTTAATACTGTTTAGTAATACCTCATCTTTTTTTTTTAAATTATTAGTTTTCTTTTTTTTTATATAAGATTACGTACAAATGATGTAATATTTCAGGAAATTCTTTACTTATTAAAAAAAATCATAAAAAAAAAAAAAAAATGAAATAAAAGTCAATTTAAAACTTTAAAAAGTCAAAGAAATTGCAGATGCAACAACCCCAACAACAATTAGGATATAATGAAATTATGATTGTCTCCAAGTACTTTGAAGATATTAATGATTTTATTAATTTAGAAATGGGAGTTAAAAGATTCCAAGGAAATATGGAACGATTCCACTTTAATCCAATTCCATTGAATCAATCTTCAAGAAAATTGTTTCCTAATATTGAAACATTTCATATTTATAATAGAAATGATCCCAAATTTAAAGATGGAAAGATATTTAAACAAGTAATATGGTATGAAGTAAATTACCAAGATTATTTAAAAGAAAAGTCTTCAGGAAATGAATATAAAAATGTTTTCATTAATAAAAGTGACAAAGAAATTGATCCAAATAATGTTCCAGAACCAATCAATGGAATAGGAGATAATTTTTATGCTTCATCTAGTATAACTGAACTTCAACTCTCTCCAAAAATTAAAAGAGTTGGAAAGAATTGTTTTTCTCATTGTGATCAATTAACAAAAGTTACTGTTCCAATATCACTTTCAGTATTAAGTGATTCATGTTTTTATCATTGTGGACAGATTACAGAAATTATACTTTCAGATGCTGTTCAAAAACTTGAAGACTTTTGTTTTGCTGAATGTTATTCTTTAAAAAGTATTACTATCCCATTATCTATTGTTAAAGTTGGAAGTCGTTGTTTTGAACGATGTAATTCATTAACTAATTTAAATATTCCAGGATATCATTTTGCAATTGGAAATAGAATTTACTTTAATAATGCTCCTCTTATTACTATGGTTATTCCTTCTTCTGTTAAAACAATTAATGAACTTCCTATTAACAAAATTCCTGAAGGTCAAAATATTGTTATTCCTAAGTCTGTTTTTTCTGTTAGTAAAATGGCTTTTGTTGACGTTGATTCTAAACTTATTTCTTCAGATAATTCTATTCCTTATATCAGAAAAACCATTATGGATAGTATTAACGAAGATGCTAAAGAAAGAGATGGTACATATGACAAATTTAGTCGTATTTTTTAAACCTTAAAGATTTATCAATTTAATTGATTCTTCTTCTTTTTTCTCTTATTTTTTAATTTTCATTTAAATTTCATTTAAATTTCTTTTATTTTATAAATGAAAAAAAAATTACTTCAATTTTATCCTTTCATTATTTAATACTCATCGTTAACTCATCGTTACTTTTTTCTTTCTTTGATTTTATTAAAAAAATCAAATTTAAATGAATAGATTAAAAAAGGAACCAATTTGAATATTTGAATTGAATTAATTTAAAGAAATTAACTTTTTTTTCAAAAAAGATACTTTTCATTCAAAATGGAAAGAAAACTGAGAAACGTTTGGTTTAATAGATGTGAATCATAATAAGAAAAAATCTACTAACAGTAAACAGAGAAGAAGTAATAAACAAGTCCCAAAATTGGCTTCTTTAATCTAATAACCAGATTGAATCATATTTAGATCCATGGAAGACAGTAATATCATAAAGATTCAAGCATTAATTAATGGATTTTATATTCGTAAGAAGTATAATTTAAAACAACTTTATACCCAAAAAGAGATTGTTAAAGAAGCAGTTGAAACAGAAGAATCGTTATTAAAAAAAATGAAAACTATGAAAGATATATATCAACCCCCTTTAAAACAAGTAAATATTGATGAAACATCATATAAAGTCCATTTAATATTTGAATATCTTGATGCATGTATTGAATCAAGTCAACAAATTGTAAAATATGGAAAACAATTTATTGAGAATTATAAAATAGATACACAACCATCACAATTTTTTTCATTTGTTACATTTCATTTATGGGCATATGGAGAATATACTATTAATTATAATATTACTAAAACAATGTTAAATGAATTAACAAAAAATATTATTTATCAACGATTATTAAGTATTATTGATTCTAAACAACCTCATGGATGGGTAATAAGTGATCTTATTATTGAACCAATGCAAAGAACTCCAAGATATCCATTATTATTAAATACATTAATAAAAGTAACAAATGAAAATAGTAATGATTATCAATCATTATTAACCGTTAAAAAAGATTATGATTATTTTACTGCTTTAGTTAATGAAAAAACAACAATGAGAGATAATTTAAGAATTCTTGCTGAAGATATGGATTTTCCTCAAATTATTATACCAAGAAGATATTATATTGGTGGTGATGTTATGACTTATAATAAAAAAAAATGTGAAGGTCATTTATTCAACGATAGAATTATTTGGTTTGCTGTATCAAAAGGTTCAAAAATTGGTAAACAAAATGAATATCATATTGAAGGTGAGTTTATTTTTGATAGTAAAACTCGTGTTGTACTTTCTAGAAATATCGTTTCTTTAAATAAATATGGTTTAATGCCAATTCAAATGTCTTTAAGTTCTAAAAAAATAGCTGAAAAATGGAAAGAAACTATTAGTAATTTATTATTTTCTGGAATATGGGATATGGCAAATGAAAATAGTTGGATGAATACTGTTGATTGTCATTGTACTTTTGTTTCTTATATTACTCCAATGTTTCCAAAAATTACTAAAATAAAGAAATAAATAGACTTAATTACTATTATTATTATTTCATTAAAGTACTTTTCTTTTTATTATTATTCTTTAGTTTTTTTTATTATTATTCTTTTTTTAAAAACTTCCTTTTCTAATGCAAGAAATATATCAAATTTTAATGAAATGGATATTGTGTACTATCAATGTGTATTGTAAAGAAAAACAAAC